ATCCCTTATTTCTTCTTCTTTTCTTTCTGGAAAAATAATAAATACTCAGGTTTTTTTTTTTTTTTTTTTGGAAGATTATGTTTGTGGTCCCAAGATTCAACATGGGAATGGGAAATGTCAGAAAGAAAAAGTATATGATGACTGCCCTTGTTCCCCAAGAATAGCAACATGTATTTACTCATCAAAGTTCAGTGTATTTGTCCAGTTCAGCACTTCATCCACTTCCCACTCCATCACGGAATCTATCCCACCATCTTCAATAGCTCTTATTAGCCCCTTCGTTGCTGTGTGAATTAAACCTAGAGTTTTAGGATGTGTTGACTTAGCCTCCAGGCTTCCTGTGTAGTACCTAAATAGAGAATAGGAAGAGAAACATAAATCCTTTGGAATAGGTGATTACAAGTAGATGCAGTTGATATATATTGTGGCTACTTACATATGAAAACTATTTTACGCACTGAATCAACTTTTCATCCTATATAACTCTGATGCATTTAAACCAAGATCCATGATGGGATATTTTGGGGGTAAAAGCAACTTAACCAACCACACTCATCAGAGAGGCCTCAGTTCAAATTATCCCTCGGTAAGTTACATTTTGGTGATATAAAGAAAAACTAAGTTATTGAATCACTGAATCATATTAATAGAATTGTAGAATGGAAAGGATCTTAGAAACCAATAACTAACCCACTCATTTTACAGGTGAGAAAATAAATCCTGGAGGATTTGAGTAACTTTTACAAAGTCATGAGGCTAATGGCAGGCAGGAAGAGGGAAGGAAAGCGGAATAACGAAAGAAAAAGAGAGGAAGAGGTAAAGGGATGACAGATACTGACATTTTCTTTTTGCCAGGTACTTTTCACACATTATCTTGTTTAATTCTCTATAAAAAGTTACAGCCATTTTTAACAGCTATTTTTATTCCCCTTTATTCCTCTTTATAAAGAAACTGAGACTTGGAGAAGTTTAAAAATTATTCAAGATCATGTAGATAGTAAATATATATCAGAGCCAGTGTTCAGACCTGACTGTTAAGTGCAGCCTCCCTCTGGAGACTGTGTTTTATTAATCTGCACATAAAATAATGTGTCCACCAAACATGAGCTGAGGGAGTAAAGAGAAGTTAGCAATCCTTACCAAACATAGCGTTTTGGGGGGTTATTCATTTTGAAATCTACACTGGTAGCCATTTTAAAGATGAACCTATTTTGAAATTGTATTCATTTATTAATTCAATGCCCACTGATTAGGAAGTAGCATAGTGGTGATACAGAGCAGGACTCTGGTATCAAATTATCTGGATGTGAATCTTGGTTCTGTGATTTACTAGCCATATAATTTTTGCCAAATAACCCAGCTTTTCTGGGCCTCAATGACCACTTCCTTAAAATGATAATCATATTACTACTTCCTCCTAGTGTTCTCAAGAGGTTTAGAAGTGTAAATCTATGTAAAGCATTTAGAACAGTGAATTGCACATAGTAAGCATTCAATAAAAGAAGGCTACACAATACTGGGTGGCAGGAATATAACAGCGAGGTGATATATCCCTGCCCTCATGAAGTTTCTGCTTGATCAGACTTTAAATGGATAATGATCCATGAGAGCAAATGTATTTTATAGAAGCAGGAACACGACTCTTTATTTATAGTTTAATAAGAGCAAATATTGTAAGAAAGTATGACTTAGCAATTTTTCTCTAGTTTTTCATTCACTTATTCATATAATAAATATCTATTGAGTGTACACCATTTACAAAGTGTTATATGTTTGTACAGTGGTGAAACTTCCCTCAGGGAACTTGCAATCTTACACTCTATACTCTGTTTTCCGAACATAATAGGCACTCAGTAAACATGTATTAAGTAAATGAATGAGCAAATGAATGATACTTCCCACTAGCCCAGACTTATTGAACTAATGCTCATGCTGTAACAAAAATGCATTTAAAACTTAGAAACTTCTGGAAGGCTGGGAGTGAATGCACTTTTAATGATTTCCTCCATGTTTTACCTTTCCAAATATACAAACACTTGAGACTAGATTTTGAAACATGGATGGTATTCCTTTCTCCTTTTTCAACAGTGATATATAATAATTCAGATATCTATTTTTTCTCTTATTAAGGAAGTATAAAATGCACTTTGTTTTTGAGAGTATTAATAATTGTTCTAGGCCAGGCGCGGTGGCTCCTGCCTGTAATCCTAGCACGCTGGGAGGCCAAGGCAGGAGGATTGCTTGGGATTACAAGCGTGAGCCACTGTACCTGGCTCCTTATGGCTTGCATTTTTATTTCTGAAACAGATTATTCAAAGAACAAAAGCTTTTAATTTTGATAAAGTGAAATTGAACAAATTTTTCTTTTATAGTTCATGCCTTCTGTGCCCCATTTAAGAAACCTTCGCGAGAACAAAGGTCACTGAGATTTTCTCCTTTGGCTACTTTTAGATGCTTTATGGTTTTTACTCTTATATTTAGAACTATGATCTCTTTTGAGTTAATTTTACTTATGGTATAGGAGTCAAGGTTCATTTTTTGACATTTGGATATCCAATTTGTTAAAAAGACTATTTTTCCTCCAATTAAATTCCCTAATCACCTTTGTTGAAGAATCAATTAACAATGTATGTGTGACTGTTTCTCAACACTATGTCCTGTTCCATTGATCTATATATATCTATCTTTATGCCAATACAACATCATGATTACAGTAGCTTTATAAGTCTTGAAATCAAGTAGCATAAGTTCTACGGATTTTTTTCCAAAATATTATCTACTTCTTTAATAAGTCTAAGTACTTAGTCAACTTACATTTGCCTCATCCATTCTATTTTTCTAATTTTTCTTTTCTTTTCCAAATCTTGCCTTCTCTTCAGTTTAGAGAAATGAAATTCAATTTCTTTTTTGTCTTCCACTACTTCACTGGCAGTAGATAACCAAAACTATTGAGAAATGAAAAGGCATATAAAAAATGTTGAAATATTGATTGTGAGATTATATGGCTATAGACAAGAACCTCTGTGCATTTGGTAGGAATATGCCAGTATAGAGACAGAGGAAAGGATAGACTCTTTTAAGGTATTTCTAATTAAGTGATGAGTAAGTTAGTATACTGCGCTTTCAGAACCACAAGATTGACAATGCACTAGTGTACTGAGGTACTTAATTTGATGGATGGATTAGTAAATAGACATATTCTAAGACTGTCTCATCTTCTTACATGAATAGACCTTACCTATTCTTAGTACTGTTGGGTTTTGATGACTCTAACCCTCAAGAAGTAGTGGCACCTTCCAGGAACACAGAGATCCCTCTATTATCTCCCAAGACTTTTGTGGTTTCCCCTTTATGACACTTTCTCCTAATTGGCTGCCTATTTTTCCACTTCCAGTTCATCCTCCCTACCCTGTCGCACACACTAGACAACAAGGAGGAGAGTTTGCTACTTCCCCACAATACTATGTATTTGTACCTATTCAACCACTTAACATATTTACTACACTGTACTGAAATATCCTGTCTACTCGACTCTCTCTCTCTAATTGAAAGCAATCTACTTGAGGGAAAGGACTATGCCTTTTTTACCATTGTATCCCTAGCATCTAAAACAATGCCTGATATATGATTGATATGCCATAAAGTTTGCTAATGAATGAATGAATTCACACCTTGATCATTATCACTTTTCATACTTAGTATATGCAACATACTAAATTCTACAATCTGTGTACTGAGTATATAATCTGGTGAGTACCAGAGAGTATCTAAAGATGGCATAAGTTCAAAGCTAATTATTAAAAGTACAAGTAAATGTAGGAAGAAAAAGATAAACTGTTGTACCTTGAAGCATTATTAGTAACCTCAGAGTATTTAACTTAAGTAAGTTTTATCAATTAAATTACTAGGATTTATTATTTTAAAAAACAATTTTAAAATTAATTTTTAAAAAGATAAAATGAATTTCTAAATATATGAGATAAAAAATTATCAATATTTCTCTTTTCTTACTCTATCAGAAACAGGCCTCCAGCCATTGTTTTCTATCCGACGATACCAGCCACTATGATCCTCTTCCTGAAGATGATCACTTTTATTATGAGATGTATGTTTTGCTGGAAGTTTTGTATAATCTCTAGGGCTGTTAGCACACAGATCTTCAATATGTCTGTCAGTAAAAATTTTATAGTATATATGAGGGGGAAATTCAACCTGTAGATGTAAAAGTTCAAAGGACCACTGTAATATAATTACGAAAATGGTTTATGATTTTAAAAATTACATCTTTTAAATTTCATATAAATGTGCTTTAAAATTACTAAAGAAGAATCCATCTATACTTACTCCACCTAATCTGAATCGCACATGAATGCCAGCAGCAGCGTCTAGAAGCTCTGCCTATAAGAGAATGTATTACTCTTCAACATTTTGTATCAATTCATTACTTCTCACTCTATTATTTAAAAATAGTTGCTGAAGGTTGATTATTTAGGAAATAGGTGAACAAATAATTAATCTTAAATTAGAAAATATTTTAATATCTAAGGACTTAATTTCTTAGGGTTTTTAATAAATAAAACAGCTTATATGACAACTGAAAAAGTGATACCAAATTGTGTCCTTTCTATGCAATATAGAAATATAAATGCCAAGTGATTTATTATTCATAAAACAGAAGTTTTAAATAAGTCCTTAAAGATATGATTTACATATAAAGTATTATCTTACAGGTAAATTCAGAGAAAAAAATTGTGACTGATCAACCTAAGTTCAGCCTTCCCTAACTAGCTTTTGTTAAACCAAAAATCCATGTTTAAAAATCTGTAACAATTGTATATAACAGGTCTTCTAAATTTTAGTGCCTTGCACCAAAATGAAAAGTAAAGAAAAGATTCTTGGCCTTTATGAGGAAACAATGCAATTTTCTCTCCTGATAGTATTAGCTTAGATGAGAAAATAGATACTATCTTGCATTATTCAATCTATAAAGCCTGTAAGATGACATTAGTTTCACAGAATAATTTTCTCTTGACTAAAAATTTTATGAATTCAAGTATGAAGTGTGATACCCTGTTATAAAACATATTTTTCATATTTGAACCATAACACTATACATATATACATGCATATATATTTTTCTTCACTGAAGTGGGCAGATTTTAAGTGCACAGCTCAATGAATTTTTACAGATGTACTGTATACTCTTTTGTGCTTGGCTTCTTTTGCTCAACATGAATCTGTGATGAATCTATAAGATTCATACATGTAGTTGCAGACAGTAGCAAGTTATTTTTCACTGCCATCTACAGGGTATCCCAAAAGTCTCCATACAAAGGAAAAATTTTGTAATGAATATTTTGTAAATAAAGGTACATTTTAGCTACAATTTCCCATTTTCCCTATGTAGGTGACTTTTGGGACATCCTGTAGTATTCCATCATATAATGTACCACAATTTATTTTTCAACTCTATTATTGTTGGAATTTTGATATGTTTCTAGTTTTGGGCTATTATAAATAAAACTGCTTCTTCTAGTGGGCTATATTATTCATTTCCCTTTGTTACATACCCAAGAATGGAATATGAGTGGTCAGGAGGTATATTTATACGGGTGTCCCCAACTTAGGATGGTATGACTTACGATTTTTTGACTTCACGATGGTGTGAAAGCCATACACATTCAGTAGAAATCATACTTCAGATTTTAAATTTTGATCTTTTCCCAGGTAAGTGATATTCTGTACAATACTCTGTTACAATGCTGGACAGCAGCAGCAAGTGGCTGCTTCCAATCAGCCATGTAATCACAAGGATAAACAACCAATACTCCACAGTGTAAACTAAACTAAGCTATAATGTTCAGTAGGTTAGGTATATTAAATGCATTTTCAACTTAAAACATTTTGAACATATGATGGGTTTATCTGGACATAACTCTATCATAGGACAAGCAGCATTTGTAATTAGCTGTACTAGTGACTCCCAAAGAGTTTTTTTCAAAAATTTTGTAAGAATTTACCACTCACCAGCAATATATGAGAGTTCTGGTTGCTCCACATCCTTATCAACACTTGGTATTGTCAAGATCTTTTCATTTTAGCCATTCTGTGAGGTTATAATGGTAGCTCATTGTAGTTGTTTTATTTTTGTTTTGTTTTATTTTTTAGAAGCGAGATCTCCTTCTGTTGCCTAGGCTAAAGTACAGTGGCACAAATATAGCTCACTGCAGCCTTGAACTCCTGGGTTCAAGTGATCCTCCTGCCTCAGCCTCCTGAGAATCTGGGACTCACACCCAGCTAATGTTTTTATTTTGGGGGGAGACAGGGTCTCACTATGTTGCCCAGGCTAGTCTCAAACTCCTGGCCTCAAGCAGTCTTCCTTTTCACCTTGGCCTCACAAAATGCTGGAATTACAAGCATGAGCCACTGTGCCCAGCCTGATCACTGTAGTTTTAATTTATATTTCCTCAGGACTAACCATGTTGAGTACATTTGTATATGCTTATTGGATATTAGATATATAGTCTTGCTAGAGGTTTATCAATTTTATTAACCTATTCAAAGAACTGACTAGCTTTTTTTTTTAGACTTTTTAAAAAATTTTAATTATTATGGGTACCTAATAGTTATATATCTTTACAGGGTACATGTGATGTTTTGATACAGGCATACAATGTGAATTAATAAAATCAGGGTTATTGGGGTATCCATCACCTCAGGCATTTATCATTTCTTTGTGTTAGGAACATTCTAATTCTACTCTTCTAGTTATTTTAAAGTATACCCTAAGTTATTGTTGATTATAGTCACTTTGTTGTGCCATCTTGCTTTGTTTATTTTCTCTCTGTTACTTCTACTTCCTATTCATTGACTTCAGATTTTATCTTTACTATTTCCTTCCTTTTACTTTCTTTGAGTTTAATTTGCTTAACTTTTTCTACCTTCTTGAGGTAGAAACTTAGGACACTGATTTTCAATCTTTCTCCTTTTGTATTATAATGCTTGCATTTAGATGTATAAATTTCCCTCTGAGCTCTACTTTGGCTGCATCCCATGAACTTTGATGTCATTAGGAATTAGCATAAAATATATTCTAATTTTCCTTTTTAACCTATAGATTATTTAATTTCATGTGCTTAATTTGTAAAAGTTTGATGGTTCTCTATTTCTCTTACTTTTATTGATTTCTAGTTTAATTCTCTTGGGACTAAAGAACATTCTCTATGGTCTCAATCCTTTGAAATTTATTAAGACTTGCATTAAATCCAAGCATGTAATCTATTTTAGGAAACATTTCCTGTGCACTTAACCTAAAGACAACATTAGATTTTCAGACCTTTAGATATTTTGCAGTGTTGACTATAATGTTCTATATTTATCAATTAGGTGAAGACATTAAAATCTGCTATATCTATACAAAATTTTTTTTGCATGCTTGTTTCTATCAATTACCAAGAAAGATGTGTTAAAAATCTCCAAGTATGAATGAAGATTACTATGTTTCTTCTGGTAAGTATGTCAATTTTTGTTTTACAATCACGGAATTG